AGGGTCTAGGCCCGAAACGTCAGCCTTCCTGCTCCTATGATGCTGCTGGGCCTGCTGTGTTCATCCAGCTCTACACCTTGTTATCTCAGTTACAACAAAAGATCATTGCCTCTTAGCAACAGCAATCACCTCAGCCCTAGGGTATTGCCCTGTGGAATGCCTGCAGAGTCCGACAACTGAGTATCTTAACTGCTTCGTCAATAGATATCCCTTTGTAATAAGGGGAGATGTGGGCTGTTTGATCATCATTGTGCAATGCTCATTTCCATTTACAGTTACTGATATCATGAAACAGTCCTCCATGCCTGCATGCAGAAAGGACTGGACAGTATCCAAGCACAGGCTGATATATGACAACTAACATTGGTGTCATTCAAGTGTCAGGTAATGACCATCCTCAAATCAAGAGTTTGTCCAATGGGTCCTTCCTATCACGTTTAATGATACTACAGTTCCAGTTTCCCTCCCATTAATATTCTGGGGCACAATGTCCTGAAACTCAAAAGGGACCAGCTACGTAAAAGAAGTGGTTATTGAAACTGGTATTAGAGGCCAGCTATTCTGCATGCCACCTCACTAGCTAAAGCCTGTCCACCAGCTACATAACTGGTGGAATACTCCAACATTTATTTAAATAAAGTAAGTTCAAAGAAAGTTTACCAGACTAATGCCTGGAATGGAAAGGATGGATAGGTGAGCCCTGTATCTGCTGGTGGTTGGAAGAGTAAGAGGAATCTTGATTTAAACATGAACAAGATGTTTTCTCTCCTGGGAGAATTTTGAATTAGGGATTGCTGTTCAAGTATCAGAGATTGCTCCTTTATAACAGAAATCAGGCAATTTATTTTCTGAGTTTTTGGTGCTCTAAAGTCCTTGAATGTTTTCAGATAGAGAAAGACAGATTCTATGTAAGCAAGGGGTTAAATGCTTGTCAGAAGTAGGCAGAAATGTAGCTTTGAGAGTACAACCAGACAAGCTATGATTTTATTGAATGGGAGAGCAAGCTCAAGGGCTGAATGGCCTACTGCAGTTCCTGATTTGTATATTCATACAGTTGTATCAGTAACTTTTAGGTTTCTTTTTTCCCCTGCAGTGCCGTTTTCTGATTAACAGAACTGAATGATAACATAATTAAGCCTCCGGGCTTATTTTCAGTTTATTTCATAACAATATAGTTATTGATCTCCTTTGAAGGAGTGGGGTAAATGGTTATTAGCAAGCTAAGGCATTGTAGAAACAAAAATGGAGTACTGAAAATAAAAACAAAGTGCTGGAAAATCTGAGTCTGAAAATGTCTATACAGAAAGAAAAACAGAGTTGACATTTTGAGTCTGAAATGACTATTTTCAGAACTCGATTTCAGATTTGCAGCATCTGCGTATTTTGGTTTTAATGTCTCTTTTTTTGCTTAATGTCACCTATATAACATTACTAACACAAACCCATTTACAGTTCTTTCAATCTCCAGGGTAAGAATTTTTTTTCCTAAAGTAAGAGAAGCTTTATTTCATGATCCTCCAATATTTAAATATGATCTCAAATTATTTTCGCAGATATTTGAACAAAAAAAAAATCATACAAGCTCCCTAAAGATAGAAATGTCGATTTTCTTGTGCAGATTCCAAAAGGAATTGCAATCAGTTAATAGCTAAATGAGAAACAAGTAAGAACTTTCAGGGCAACAGCCTAGAAAGCTTTTATTTTGTTAGGCACAGTTTCTTTTGGGCTTGAACAATTTTAGCCATGTGGCTGATTTGTGTTGTTTTATTTGTTTAGCTCTGCATATGATACAAGAACACGACGGAAGGTAGCAATAAAAAAGCTATCAAGACCATTTCAGTCGCTGATTCATGCAAGGAGGACATACAGAGAGCTGAGATTGTTGAAGCACATGAAACATGAAAATGTAAGTGAATATTTTATTCTAAAATTGTTGACTATGCATTGCTATAATTGCAATCAAATATATTTTTGATCTTGCAAAAAAGTGATCACAATGATTCTTCAGTTTTTTCTAACCTTACAAATAAAAATGAGAAATTTCAAAAATACAATTCTGTTGTGATTACTTTGAAGACTGCACTTAAATGAGTAAGCTCATTCAGTTTATTGTATTTTAGGATATCTTCTTTTGGCATTATGCTAGCTCCCAATAGAGAGTTTCACTTGTTTAAAATGCCTGATAGAAATTTATTTGCACCTTTTATCAAAGTGTACCAGTAAGGAAGTTGTGGGCACTGTGCACCTGTTTTTCAGTTTACGCTGTCCCTGTGCAGCACCCTTTAGGAATTTTGACCCATTTATATCAGACATGATTGACCAAGCCAATAGACAAATGGTATCCTTCAGAATATCACAATTTCATTGTATCACTCGTTGCCGGATGATCTCTAAGGGCTCACCTTCCAATGTATCCCCCCCTTACTAACACCTTTGTGGCCAAGATTCACAGCCCCACCATCACATGAACAAATTTTGCCAGAGGAACCAAAAATGAAGCCAGGTTAGAGATACAGTTGGTACTCATCAAACAGGAGTGTTCCTGTATGGCTTAATTGGTGGGGGACTATCTTCCTGACACAATTCTTCATGAGTTGGGAATTCTCACATTCCCGGATCAGAGGCACCTAATAGAGTTAATAGGAGTTACACCCAGGGAGGACAAAGCTTGCCTTTCTGCCAAAGAGAAGAAAATGTAGCTCAGCTGGGGTTCAAGGCCAGGATCAAGCTCTGAACTCTACTGACACAACCTACTCAGGAACACACACTGAAACTTCAGCCCCGGATCATCACGAAAGTTACAACTTTAATCCAGGCAGGAGATATAAAAGTTTGATTACATGTACAAACAGATTAAAGAACAGTTTCTTCCCCGCTGAATTTATCAGACTTCCAAACGGACCTCTCAAATGTTAGTTCTGATTTCTTTCTCTATGGCTATAACACTGTATTCTGCACTCTGTTCTGCTACCCTGATGCACTTTGTACGGTATGACCTGCTTGTATAGCACACAACTGTATCTGAGTACATGTGACAACAATAAATCAAACTCAAACTCAAAATTCAAGCGTCTATCTTCCTGTCTAATGAAGTCAGGTCAATAGTAATCACTAACAAAAAAAAAAACAATTTATTACAAATCAATGAGTTCTAATTATGGGCAGACAACATTTTAATTATCAACTTATAATTCTCTAACTTAATCCCTGCCCCTTCTTAAACCTCTATATACGCATACAGACAGACGAAAACAAAAATTAAAATACAGATGGTAAATGCACATTTGCAAAAATTCAGTCTGCTTCACCTTTCCTTACAGTTCAGTTATACACTTAGGTATCCATCCGGTAAAGAGGCCTATCAGTACTTTGAAAAAGAGGGACTATTTTCCTAACCCTGCCAAATTGTAGAGACTGTGCACAGACCTCAGTGGGACTGTCCCAACACTTAGGACAGAATGTGCCCTCTCTGTATTGTTCCATCACGAGGATCAGACAGTGTTAATATTTTGTATTAGTTACTTCCCAGATGTGTGTGATGCCACTGGCATGGAAGTTCTCTCACATATCAGGATGAAATTTTCCTGGGGCTCTTAAAATCATGACCATGTAGAAGATCCCAAGACCACACTCGCAAGCAGTAAGATGGGTACAAGGCTTATTCCCAGCGATCTCCTCCTAGTTCACCAACCCTGAGCTTGTTGTCCGATTAAGGGCAGTCCCATCAGGCGGCCAGCAGTTCTGTAGCTTTGGCAGATCCGCTGGGAGAAGTGATAAGTGCCAAGATAAGTCAGGACCATGAGGCATAGCCTCAGATGGGAGAGATGAACTTAAAAATGTAGAGATGCCAAAGTGGTAAGTTCCACTGGCACCTCCATAAGGAGGCAGTCCCCATGGAGTCTGCAATCTCTCCACACACTAAAGGCCAACTTACATCCAAAAAAGTGATGCCAGCAGGGCATCTAAATCTTGAATTGGGACCTAATTGGCCACCTGTCTGTGTGGTGCAGGCAGCTAATCTGGGTCCCTGTATATCACGGAGAAATGTCAACAGTGGAATGCATCCAGGACCTAGCCACCCTCCCTGCTCATCGGCCCAAGGGGTCAGAAAAATTCTGTCTGTTGTCTCCCTCCTCAGTCTCATTCTTTCAGGATGAGTATACACAATTGCATCTGTGAGTCTGTGCTTTCTGTTAGTGGCTGAATTTATCTTGAAAGATTCCCTTGTTGACAGGTGATCAGGATGTTCCTTACTTAATTCCAGAAATTTAATGGCTCATTGTTATTTAATGCTCAGTTATCCCCTTAATACTAAATCAACAATAAATTTCTTGGCTGTTTTTGGTAACTGTTTAGTGAAATGGTAAAATTACCAACATTTTATATTTCCAGAATGACCATGAATATCAAAAATTATTAACAAAATCTAGTTACATGAATAATTCCTTCCCAGTCAAGTATGAATAACAAAGCAGAGATAATATTGTTTCAATAAATTAAACAACATGCTAAACTATTTCCTCCGGTGAGTGAGCTGCTATTGTTAGGGGCACACAGACCTGAGAAATACCAGGTTTCATATTTGGCTCATGTTTGTTTAGCTGATCTTAGGCAGGGAAGCACGAGGAACATAAAAGCTGGGTTAGGAAAGGGAAGAAAAAAAAACAGCCAGAAGTCCCATTCCTGATCACATTACAGTGAACCAGACTTGAAGAGTTGATATGTAATTGCCAGGTGAGGATCACACCCAACCATGTGAATTCTCATTTCTTATTGCCATTCATTGGTTAAAACACAATGAATAATGGCATCATATATATCCTCTATAAGGAGTATCATTGCTGTCAGGACAATAGGTGGTAGCTTAATGGTGCAGTAGGATGCTACGCTACAAGAAGAAGGACTGTCCCAGTGCCGAGTTGCCTGATCTCAGATGAGGTAATGGTTAGACAATTGCAATTGGCCTCAGCATACGTAGACTCAAGGTGTTCTTCACTTCTTTTTTTTATTCATTCACAGAACGTGGGCATTGCTGGCTAGGCCAAGATTTAGTTTTCTTCCCTAGTTGCCCAGAGGGCATTTAAGAGTCAACCACATTGCTGTGGGTCTGGACCACATGTAGGTCAGATCAAGCAAAGATGGTAGATTTCCTTTCCTGAAGGACATTAGTGAACCAGATAGCTTTTCGAGCAATTGATATGATCATTATTAGACTCTTATTTCTAGATTTTTATTGAATTAAATGCCACTGAACCTGGGTGCTCAAAGCATTACCTTGGTCCCTGGTTTATTATAATCCCACTGGTCCATTGCCTGCCCATCTGAATCACATTTGGAGAGCATTTACAATGAACTCTACCTCAGCAATGACTTGTTGCCCTTAGGAAAAGAGGAAAGATATAAGTTTTAAGTCTTCAAAGAAGATTTATTAATTAAATTTGCAGATATAGATTTATCTTACTGCAAATTTGCTAAAGATTTACTGATGGGATTTTGGCCAAATTTCTTACAGCCGGTTCTAGTTTTGAATAAGTTATGTGGTTACATGTCTCATAAGAACAAAATTTGTATTATTTGGTTATGACAGCATTAAATTATAATAACCTTCAGGGAGAGAAATAAAATCCAAAGATGAGATTTCCTTGTCACCTTTTAAATTTTATTCAAGACTATTAGGTCTCACAGTCTTAGAAAATCTTAGCAGGTGCTTAATCTTGTAACAAGGATATTACATGATGAATGCATTCATCGGCGTATTAATGGCAACTGGTTAAATCTTTTAATGGTAAATACGCATTTTCTCACAAATATGTGTCTTATTATTTCACCATTCCTATATTTAGGAATTGTGTAAAATCCAAAAGCTCATTTTATAAACTAGATTACTTTGTTGATTTCTTTCAGGTTATTGGATTGTTAGATGTCTTTACACCAGCAGTCACACTGGAGAATTTTCGAGAAGTGTAAGTTCAACAGAATTTAAAATTCTAAACTATTGAAAATCTCTTCTGTTCGGTTGTTGTAGCTAAGTTTATGCTGAAGCAGATTCCTGAGAATGGCCTGTAAATACGTCTAACAAGAGCACAATTTGCAAGGGGGAAGGATGGAAGATTTTGTAAAGAAATCTGGACTTGTTTTCCTTCCATATGAGCAAGATATTACTTGCATGTTTTGTGTTTTATTTGGATATGGTTCATTAAATTCTGAGTTGCTTGTGTAACTCCATCTGAGTGCTGTATGGTGTAATGGTCAGGCAAAAAGTAGAATGAAGAACTGACATTAAATTTCCTTGATTGACTCTGCTTTCTTCCAACTGAATACTAGGAAAACATGGTAGTGGTCTACAGCTCAGTCTGCTGGCCAAAATGGAGATGAAGCAGTAGGTATCTGTTTGGTCAATCAAGATTTAGTGGCTAAACATTTTTACAATAGTGTCCTTTTGGAAAACATAAGCAAATTATAAGATTAAAATCTGATTTGAAAGTTCATGAATGAGATACATCTTGCAGCATTTTAAATATTTGAAAAATGGAAAATTATTTTTAATACCATTTGAACAGCACTGTTTCCCCACCTGATGGGCTAAATAACCTCTTTCTACACTGTAAAGATCAACCGTTACATAGTTTAGGTGCATCGTATTTTATAGTTACCAGTGTGGAATTTGGGAGGTTAATTTAGATTTCAGTTTTTTCTAATCAGGCTTAGCTCAGAGTTGGTAAGGTTGGAATCTACACATGCTTAAAAGCCAGAACTAAGTAAAATAGTTCATACTAACAAAAGCATTTACAGACAAACCTGAGCTTATGTTTTACTCCAAAGGAGTCATTTTTGTCGTGCTCTTGAAGAGCAAATATTGATTGTTGATGCCATGATTTTCTGAAAACATTTACTTTGTGGCATCTCACCAAGTCTCCTTAGATAGCACCTTCCAAATCTGTAATTTCCACTATCTCAAAGGACAAAGGCAGCAGACACATAGGAACACCACTAGCTGTAAATTCCTCCCAAAGCATACACCATCCAGACTTGGAACTATATCACTACTCCTTCACTGTCACTGGGTCAGAACCATGGAACTACCTTCCTAATAGCACAATGGATGAACATACACCACATGGAACGCAGTGGTTCAAGAAGCCAGCTGACACCCACCTTCTCCAGTAAGTAAATGTTAGTCCAGTTAGCAATGCTCACAACCCATGGGTGATGCATTTCCAAAACAGAATAAATGCCCACACGCTGCCTGCTATATTGGGATATTAATTGTTTGTTTTACATCTGTAAAGTGCATGCAAGATGAAGAAATTTCTTGGTTCCCAAATTTAGCCACGCCTTTTCCAGCATGGAAGAAGCCTCACTGATGAGAGCTATATTTGCAGAGGCAATTTCTGTTATGAATATAGACATGACAATTTATAACAAAAATGCAGGAAGACATAGATATCTATCTTCCCATTTTAAAATTAGACTGTGTGCACGTAGTTCAAAAATCCGTCAAACTTTCACAAGGGAGAAGCACATAGTACAGCCCAAGATAACTTGTCTTTTAAGGAAGAAGAAATTGACAACCACTTCCTGCATCTGCCAAATGCAACGTCAGGAATAGAAATGTGTTACATGTGGAACTATCGGCTGAACAGACACTCCAGTAAATTGTGACAGCATATTCAACTATTCTGAATCCATTATTCTAGTCATCCCTAAAGGTGCAATTTTGAAATGTTTCTTCAAGCATTTACTGATCTTGTTTTTTTTTAAATTTTGTTCTGTATTGGGGATTGTAAACTTTGGAACAAAACCAGGCTATTCAGCCCCTTTGGACTGTTCCAGCATTAAGTTAGATCATGGCAGATCTGGATCTTGACTCCACTTACCTGCGTTGGTTCTATATCCTTTAATAACCTTACCGAATAAAATATATGTCTAACGTTGCTTTGATACTTTCAAGGTGCCAAGATTCAATAACTTATTTGTAATAAAACATTCTATTTTGCAATAGTAAAGAAATTATTATTCATACTTTGTGATTATGATGCTGGAAAATACACACCATGACGTGCCAAAGAAACTATTGCATATTCAAGGAAAGAATCTTGTGATTAAAGTGCCTTGTATTTAGCTCAAGAGTACTGCAAAGGTTGATTGTGCCTGTCAAACTGTTTCTTTAAAACCTTTGTCTAAAGCCAGTTATATGTTGACCATTGTAGGTACTTGGTGACGAACCTCATGGGTGCAGATTTGAATAACATCGTTAAGTGTCAAAAGCTGACAGACGATCATGTGCAGTTTCTCGTGTATCAGTTACTCAGAGGACTTAAGGTACAGTAATGTGTACAATATGTAGAAACAAAATTAGGCTAACAATAGCCGAGAACGATGTCTGATTCTCATTTCTCTTTCTATCTGAGGCATACTTTGGTGGTTTCAATATCATTTATACGTTTCAGCTGTCTATCTATTAATGATTAATATTAGCTATCAACACTTTCCATCTATTAAATCCTCATCTTCCAGTCTCATGCTACATGATATTCAATGACTTACTCCATAGTTAATCTCCTTAAGTCACTGCCACAATGGCAACTCACTTTCTGCAGTTAAACAATGGTCACAGCATAACTAATTTACAGTAGTTCTTCAAGTATTCCAAATGTCTTAAACTATGATGCAATGTGCAGGTATTTTTAAATTATTATTCAAGGTATTTCACCAGTGAAAATACCTGTTAATGTCACTTCATAAAGACAGAAGAGCGTTGGAAGTGAGACCTCACTAAGAAGCACACTCACTGCAAAAGATGTAAATTTTTTTTTTTTTTTTTTTTTTTAAAAGTGAGAGAGACTGCATGGAATTTATCACTATTCATTAATTATTTGGTGAAAATATTACCACAACTATCAGGTAATTACATATCCTGCTTAAGATAAAAGCTAAAACAATTATCTGTGCGTGGAGTTAAAGGTTACAGTGTGTCCTAAATCAGTCTTCATCAATTAGAAAAAAAAAACTTATTTGAAATTTTTTCACTGGAAAAATTCAAATTTAATGTCATGAAAATAATTAACCTGCCACTTTTCTTCACGGATGCAGCTTGGCTTCCTGTGTATTTCTAGCTTGTTTTTGTTTCAGATTTGCAGTTTCTTCCCTTTTTTTGTTGTCTAAAATACATAAATACTAATTACCATTTATAGAATTATATTTACCTACTTGAGAAACATCTTGCATTCATCTATGTCATTGGTATGTTGCAGATTGCTTTCATAAACAAAAGAACAGAGTCCATGAACTTAACAATGTTATTCTCATTATTGTAACTAAATTCCTACTGGAAAAATATATTGATCAGTGGAAAATGAACAAATTGTACCCAAGATTGCATTGAAACTATCACATTCAAGATTTCCTTACGATTGTCAGCTAGCAAGTGCTTTCTCTTACGTAGTAAAGGCTTTTCTTCTACCCATGGCACACAGTCAGTGACCTGTATCATTCTATCATATAGGTCAATGATTCTCCCTGGATAGCTGTCACAATGCTACCATTTATGGCAATCATTTTTGTTAAATTTGTTTGGAAAGGAAGATAGACTACAAGGATGGATCCGTGTAAACTAAAGCTGTCCCCTTTGCTTTGATTTCAGGCCAGTATGAAGCACCCACAGATAGCATCAGTGTTGGCCTTGTCGAAACTTTGAGAATGATCTCGCTTTACGTACAGCTACCTAGAGTGTCAACCTTGCTTCATTTGGTAGCAAAAGTTCTGAGTTCACGTCCAATTCAAAATGCTTAACCACAAAATTCTAGACAATGTATGGGGTGGCCTGCACTGTCAGAGATACCATATTTTGAATGAGACAGTAAACTGAGGTCTGGCCAGTTAGGTTGTGTAAAAGACCTCACAATACTATATCAAAAAAGAGAACAGGGAAGTTTTATCCAGTGTGCTTTTTAATCCTTCAATCAGCATTACAAAAATCAGATTATCTTGTACTGTTTGCAATTTGTGAGCTTGGAGTGCACATATTGGCTGCCATATTTCCTACATAACAGCTGCATTGGTGTTGTGAAATGTTCTATATAACTGCAAGTTTTTTTTTTAAACATGTACAGAAGTGAACACCTACACTTAACCTTGAGCACATGGTAACACTTCACACAGTCTGCCTTTTCTTAAATCACCTGGACTCCACTAACAGCTTAAAGAAGCTCAGCTAGTTTAAGTCAGCAATGGTCTCTCCTGACTTCAAAATAAATAGTTATTTCATCAGCAATAAATCTGAACACAAAAAATATTAAACCAAAAAAAAGGAAATAAAACTGTAAATCTGATGTCAGAATATTTCTGGAATTCGTTGGTCAATCAAAATTTGTGCAGGGAATACACAAGTTAAGGTTAAGTGTTTTGTTTAGTTAAACAGTCAGCTATTAAACATACCCTACACCCAAATTCACCCCATGTTTCTTGCTCCATCCCACAAGGGTAGCAACAACAGGAACAAAAACAGAAGTTGCTGGAAAAGCTCAGCAGATCTGACAGCATCTGTGAAGGAAAAAAACAGAGTTAACGTTTCGGGTCCGGTGACCCTTCCTCAGAACTGATGGTGGCTGGGAAAACGTCAGTTTATATGCAGAAAATGGGGAGGTGGGTGGGGTAGGGAGTAAACGATAGGATAGAGCCCAAAGAGAAAGAAAAGGCAGATGGACAGACAAAGAGTTGCTAACGATCAGGCTGGGAGGGTGAGTAGTTGTTAATGGGGACTATTAGTGACTAATAACAGGTAGTGTGTAACGGCAGGCCATGTGGTAACAAGGCCTGGTGTGTGGGGTAGGGAGCTGGGACATGGGAGAGTTTAGGCCCTAAAAGTATTGAATTCAATATTGAGCCTGGAAGGCTGCAGGGTCCCCAAGCGGAAAATGAGGTGTTGTTCTTCTAGCTTGCATTGAGCTTCGCTAGAACACTGCAGCAAACCAAAGTCAGATATGTTGGTCAGGGAACAGGGTGGTGCCTTAAAGTGAAAGGCAACAGGTAGTTCAGCGTCTTTTTTGTAAGCAGAATGTGGATGTTCTGCGAAGCGGTCACCTAGTCTACACTTTGTTTCACCAACGTAGAGGAGACCACAATGTGAGCAGCAAATGCAGTAGACTAGATTCTGGGAAGTGCAGGTGAGGTGTTGCGTGGATCATTGGATCGTTATTCAACTATTGACCTTCCCATCCTGATTGTTATCAACTCCTTTGTCTGTCCAACTGCTCTTCTCTCTCTTTAGGCTCTATCCTATCGTTTACTCCCTATCCCACCACCTCCCTATTTTCTGCATATAAACTGACATTTTTCCAGCCACCATCAGTTCTGAGGAAGGGTCACCGGACCCGAAACGTTAACTCTGTTTTTTTCCTTCACAGATGCTGCCAGACCTGCTGAGCTTTTCCAGCAACTTTGTTTTTGTTCCTGATTTATAGCATCCACAGTTCTTTCAGTTTTTATTTAGTAGCAACAGCAGAGTTCTCCATGCCAAACACCTACTTTTAAAAAAAAAAGTGCCACAGGAATGCTAGTCATTCGCGCTTGATTGTGAATACAAGCTTTAAGACATTGATTGATTTTTGACACTTTATTTGGTGTATTTCAGACAGCCTATTGTATTCTACTTTACATGTCAAAATAAGTTCTGCTGGAAATGTTAGATATTTTAAATGTGAAAGTGCTTGTCAATCTTCAGTAAGTCAAAATAAATAGGTTAATGTACTAAAGCTATATGGAATAATTGCAAACCCATTGTGCTCTTTTAAAATTGTTAAAATTGTTTCATTTTCATCAAAACAAAAGCAAATATTTTTGACACAACAAACTGCACAAGAGTATCACTTCCAGTAATCATGAGGGAGAGCTAAATTTTACAACTTCCCTCAAGTCTGAGGTGGCTATTGTACCTTTTGTCATATTGCATTAGACCTATGATGACTATTCCATTACAGATTGTATTGGGTATTTTTTAAAATCAATTAATTGATAGGATGAAAGGGGCCCTCCAAATTACAAATTAATAATAAAACTGGTAAATAAATTTTAATCAAATAAATTAGATGTTTTAAACAAATTGAAAGCAACTAAGTTGTGAAGCAACCGAACTCTCCGGTTCACAACACAAACAAGAGCTATACATCACAGCGGTGTGCTGTAGCAAAGACCTCAAAGAAGGTAAACAGTATTGTATGTTTAACTTAAGTAAATCTCATCGCTACCTCTTCACAGCCTATTTCTAAATTCTGACAATTTGCACTAATGCTGCGACAAAAACACTGCATTTAGTGCAATTGCATGAGGGAACATTCTCCATCATTTCAAAAAACAGCTGCATCTTCGCTTGAGAAAAATAAATCCTCAGAAATGTCCAGAGATTTCCTGTGAGAAAATTTTAAGTTTTAAAATCTTCATTTTTGGCAGTTTATTTATGCTGTGTAACGGCCCTGGGGACAAAGGTCAAATGAAAGCAGCTATAATGACACTTCACATTTACCATCAGCCCATCTTAAAGCTTTACTGCCTCAAGTTTCTGAGCAATCAGCAGTCGGTCGGAAAAAGTCTTCAGTCCATAGGTACTGTTGAGGTTCCAACTAATCAGTTTTACCTGACCATCTCTAGTTGTGGCTTTCAAATGCTCTGATGTGTTGCTATTGATCATCTTTACCTCTGATTTTCTTATGAGGAGCTGACACACAAGTGCTGTTAGCTTAACAATTGGATGTAACCACAAAAAAAAAATCAACATTTCCTGTAAGTGATAAGGGATGCCTTTAAACCTCCAGAATGGAAATTGTGCACGTGATGCCCAGTGTACGGTTAATGCATGTTATAAAAATGTCACTCTACCACTACCAGTTACCACATTTATTACCAACATTTGCTCCTTCTCACGTCAGCCATATAAATTTACTGTCCAAACCTTAAGTGTGGCTGCACTAATCCTTGCAGCATCTCTCTTGAAAAAGTGTAAAATCCCCATGAGTTCTGTGTGGAAAGGTTCACAGATGTATCACTGGGTTGCCTGAAGAGCAAATGCAAACCAATGGGAATAATCCTGTGGAAGATGTCATGGTCTCCCATGTTGAAGCATTCCTGCACAATGGTGTCTGCCAGCATTTTCTACTTATGCATATTTTCTTGATATTTTCTCTTTTTCCCTTTCTAACTGAGTACAGAATAATTCCAGCCGTAAAAGTGAGCAATCTACTGACTGCCAGAGCTTCAACACAGCTCTGAATAAACTGCCAGAATGTTTCCATCTGCAGCTGTGGAAACTCATTCTGTTGCAAGATTAGACCAACTGAGCTCTAATCTATTCGACTTGATGTCGAAGTGACATCTGCCATATAAAAATTCATACACACACATTCATTTCTTGACTAAGGCCAAAGCTTGATCCTTGCTTTCAATAGCTTTTAAATTTTGAGTGCAGTGGTAAAGTCACTGGGCTAGCAATCCAGAAGCCTGGGCAACCGGGTTCAAATCTCACTGTGGCACATGGTGAAATTTGAGTTCAATAAAAACATTCTGGAGTAAGAAGCTATTGTAGTGGCAACCATGTAATCATATATATCATACATTTTCAGTAATGTCCTTTTAGGGAGGGAAATTTGCCATCTTTACCTGGCCTGGCATACATGTGTTTCTGGACCACAGCAATGTAATTGGCTATTAACTGCTCTCTGGGCAATTAGGATATAATAAATTCTGGCCTAGACAGTAACACCCATATCACATAAATGAATAAAAGAAAATCTCTTTAGTCTCAACCCTGACGACATCAGCCTCATTAGACAAAATTCCTGTAACAAATAAGTCAGCATTAAAAAAATGTTTTACTGCTCTTGTTTGACTTTTCCTTTTTTTCTCCATGCTCCCTAGTCTGTCTCTATATTTGTGGAAAAAATGTTTTTCAAAAAGTTCATAAGGCAGAGTTAACTATTATCTTTAGCAGTCTTACCACATGGAATCAAAATGGTCAATATCAACAAGAAAAATCAAATTCAGTTTCACAATACATTTATGACAAGATTTTTGATTTGCAAACATCTTATTTTCCTTTTGTTTCCTCTGACAGTATATCCATTCAGCTGGTATCATTCACAGGGTAAGTTCAGTTTGTATTATGTAATGTCCCCGTGTATATTTTTTCTTCTGTGCATGTACTGCTTAAGTGGAAGTTTAATAAGACAAAACGAAGTCAAACCAGTAAACAATCAGATTAATAAAGACCTTGCGAAAATGGAGGAATGATAGTTTCACCGCACGATAAGTGTCTGACCCCAGAGTTTCAATTTGTTTTGTGGTGACTGGCACCCTGCCACTCTTGTTACATTGTATCTAGTCTAAAGTCAGCAAAAGACTGCTTTCCCAGCTGTTTGCAAGAATAGTTGGGTAGGTTCAGTTGTAAACAGCTGCAAAATTTTGAAAACAGCCCTCATTTATGTGAAGGCCAATTTCAGAAAAGCAATGACTTCAGTCTTGGAATGTTTTAGGCCATTGATCTGTCCTAGAAGGGTCCCACCATGCTGATAGCACACAGTAACTGAGAAGTACTGGGGGAAGTGCCAGAGAGAATTTAGAATGGATAATGCTATCCCACTGATCGTCCCTGTTATTAATATGCCAGGCTGCAGGGGGCAGACAACAACCCTTCATCCGAACATTCAAGGGCACTGGGACAGGTTAAATATTTCATTCAGGTTTACCGTCCTTGAAGCAGGATAGGGGGCTAAAATAAATGCATACACAGAAGGATATACACCTTTTAGGACTTTGGTTTCTGGGAAGTCAACAGGATATGGTTATAACCAGTGGGAACAGTAACAATAAATGTTTTTATATATATAACAATATTACAGCTATGGAATCCAAAGAATTAAATTATGTAACTTTTTTCAAAAACTACAGAACAGGGTTTGTTTCTTCGTGCTACAAGATTGATCAAGAGATATGTAATGGGAAAAATGCGGGTTTGCAAAGAAAATGAAGAGTCTATGTGAAATCAGAGATAGTAGGACCTGCAGATGCTGGAGAATCTGAGACAACAAGGTGCAGAGCTGGATGAACACAGCAGGCCAAGCAGCATCGTAGGAGCAGGAAGGCTGACATTTCGGGCCTAGACCC